CGGTGAAACCACACAAACCAGTTGGTGTTTAAACTTTGAGACATTGGATTAAATTTCTGTTGAAAAAGGGATTAACACAGAAGATTTCATTGTATACAGCATTAAGCATGTAGCTGTATCTAAGGCCAATACAAGTTGCAAATAAAACATTTGCCGCGTCTATCTTGGAAGGTAGGCCAGTCATTAAAGACAATCAATTCACTTTAATTACAAAAGTTTTCAAATTTTGATGGAATATTGGGTGAGTTGAAATAACAATAAATCTCATTTTGCAACCATCCCCGAGGTCCGGAACATGCTAAACATTGCAAAAAACGTTAATTTATTATAACTTTGCGAAAAAAATTACAAAAGTCCTGCAAACTTAAAGTAATGTCTATTGTAATATTTTCCACAATGTGTTAGATTTGCAACCTATTTTGAGGCGCGCAACATTGAATTTTTTGACGTAGAACTACGTCTTTCTCCGCGGTATGAGGGGTACCCACGGATGCGACGATACAACGAAAATATGTCACACTTTAAAATTTAGATCTTCGAAACTAATAATCGTAGAGTAATCATTGACATCTCATTTTAAAGCTTAAGAAGTCCTATTTATGATAAATCTAGCCCAAACTTTCTATTTCTTTCCGTTTCGTTATAGTAGCGTTTTAAAGTTTCGCAACTTGTAGATTCAACGAAAACATGTCTCACTTTGAACGTTTGGATCTTCGAAACTAATAATCGTAGAATAATGAATAACATCTCATTTTAAAGCTTAAGAAGTCCCATTTATGATAAATCTTGACCGAACTCTATTTCTTTCCATTTCGTTATAGTAGCGTTTTAAAGTTTCATAAAATTTCTTGTAGATTCAACGAAAACATGTCTCACTTTGAACGTTTATATCTTCGAAACTAATAATCGTAGAGTAATGAATGACATCTTATTTTAAAGCTTAAAAAGTCCCATTTATGATAAAACAAGAGAAAGAGAGAGAGAGAGAGAGAGAGAGAGAGAGAGAGAGAGAGTAATGAGTTCTTATATCTTTAATTCCCCTTTGAAATGTAAGTAAAATTAATATAGACGAAAAATAAGAAAAACATTTATTGTTTTATTTCTTTAAAATAAATTTATGTTTGAAAAAATCAAACAAGCACAGTAATAACTGTGCCGCAAACACGTAGAACTACGTCTACTGCACAGTATGGGCACAGCAACAACCGTGCCGCAAGCAACACGTAGAACTACATCAACTGTCACTGATGATGATTGACGTGATCAAGGAAGGCCAAGGCCCACACCGGGCTGTAGCGCCGAGTTTATCATCAGTGACAGTTGACGTAGTTCTACGTTGTTGCTTAAAAAATAAACAAAAACAAAAAAAAAAACAAACAAAAAAAAAACAAACAAAAACAAAAAACAAAAAGCAAGATGTTTTATCATAAATGGGACTTCTTAAGCTTTAAAATGAGATGTCATTCATTACTCTACGATTATTAGTTTCGAAGATATAAACGTTCAAAGTGAGACATGTTTTCGTTGAATCTACAAGAAATTTTGCGAAACTTTAAAACGCTACTATAACGAAACGAAAAGAAATAGAGAGTTCGGGCTAGATTTATCATAAATTTTTCTTGAAACGACTTCGTTTGTGTTTCAATATCCTTATTGTGGACAAACATAAGGAGTGTGTCGGGTGGTTGATTTAAAGACGATAGTTTAACTTTTCTGCATGAATAACACATTCTACGTGCTTAAGTTTTAAACTTTTTTACTTGACAATGATCACATATTGCATCCATTTTCTCAATTATTACACTCGGATGAAATTGATATTCGTAATTTGAATCATAACTGCCTCTAATTTGAAATCGGACCGCATAAATGTTTTCGTGGATTAAACATGTCGTAACCGGTCTTTTTCTACTCGAGTTTCACACTATTGAGTCATTTCGGCTTTTCCAATATTTCACTTACCGATCAGTGACATCATCCCTTGGTTTACCCAGGCGTTTTTTCGGAAATTTTGAGATTGGTCGCTCGCGATGTACACAGAACTTCGATTTTTCAATTAAAAAACCAAGAAATAAAATCGGTAATCGGTAAGTGAAATATCGAGGTAATATCTCTTTAAGAAAATATCTCTTTAAGATTCGGTCAATTATTTCCCGAAAAATTGGAAAAATTTCGGATACCGGTTCTAAAAAAGATCGGTAACAAAAAATTATACACTTCATATCACTTCCCGGAAAATTCTACCCCTGTCTCACATATAATTCTTTGAGATTCCGTCAATTATTTCCCGAAAAATTGAAGAAATTAGAAAATCCAGTTTTCAGAAGATTGGTAACGAAAAACTATACACCCTATAGCACTCCCCGGGAAATTTTACCCCTACTTCATATACAATACTTTCAAAATCGCTCCAATAGTTTCTAAGATTACCCCGAACAACACTACAAATTTTTCCCCTTTATATAATAGTAGAGATAAAACTTCTTAAGGGGATCCTAAAGCCGTCTGTAATACCGGCTTTTTTTCTTAGCACTAATCTTTTAATTGACTTTATAGAAATGCAAAATTCTTGTTTAGAATTAAAGTACGCATCAAAATCTAGGTCATGGTGGTCAAATTTATATCAAAAACAAAAAAAAATTAATATTTTTGTTAATTTTTGGTATACGTGACGACAATATTTGCTTTGTACAAAAATTCCACGATAAATATCCACAAAATTAGACCGGCATGACCTAGAGACAACATTTAAGAACAATATCGTGCAATTAGATCTAAGATTGAAAACCTAGAAAAAAAGATTACTTTATATAACTTTTATATGTGCAAAAGCACATTCAGGTTGACAGGATAAGCAATATTGCGTGTGGCAAAAGATGGCGCAGTAATCGAACAAAGACAGATGCCTCTCGTTAGACAAGGACAGATATAGATATATGACAAAAAAACAGAATTAGAAATGTTGACATTATCGACGTCGAGGAAGTTCAGCCTTCACTTTAGGATCCCCTTAAGCTTTAAAATGAGATGTCAATGATTTTTATAAAATAACTTATAAAATAATTTTTGTTTGTAAGTTGGAGGAAAAAATTGCAAAAGTGCTGCAAACCGATAGAATAACTTTTACAACTACCCCGAACAGCTGTACCAATTTGCCTTCTATGTTACACGCAACATATTTTTTTTAAATTAATGATGGAACAATTGTTTATTTGGTCGTAATTTTGCCAAAAAAATTGCAAAAATTTTGCAAATTGGTTGCAAACGTTGAGATTATTTTTCGTCACAAGCTGTTAAGTTTGCAACCTCGGACAAGGTCCGCAACCTTGAAAAATTAGCAACAATTATTATTTTGCACTTTTTACAAGCGTGAAAAAATTGCAAAAGTTTTGCAAATTTTACGGAGTGCTTCAAATGTCTTACTTTATCCGAATATAAATTTGCAACCCTCTACTAGTTACGCAAATTATTGCAACTTATTAATGAATAATTTTGTGTTACAAAATTAATGCAAAAGTGTTGCAAATCCAGGGAAACAAATAAAAAATACATTTACACATGATGTCGAATTTGCAACCTTCTATCTGTCACGCAAAATATTCAAATCAAATATATTTTTCTTTACTTTTCGATGATTGTATTAATGTACTGAGTATTTATTGATGGAATGTGAGTTAAGGAGATCGAATACAATATTTTGACTCCGACGATTGTTACATTTAGAAAGTTTTGAAAAGTTAGGAAAATGATGATTTCTTCATTCAAAATACAATTACTTTGCGATTTTTGCAGAATTTAAAAAGGGGACAAGACACTCAGTAGGTAAGCTAGGCCGATTCTAACTAGGGAGCAATGAGGGGGGGTGAGGGGCGAGGGGGGACCGCGGGCGGGAAAGGAACCGCGGGCGAGGGGGAACCGCGGGCGGGGGAAACCCGGGCGGAAGGAGAACCGCGGGCGGGGGGGAAACCGCGGGGGAGGGGGAAGGGGGAACCGCATGTTTCGGGCGCCGCGGGGGGAGAGGGGAGGGGAAAACCGCGTGTTTCGGGCCCCGCGGGAGAGGGGGAAGGGGGGAACCGCGTGTTTCGGGCGCCGCGGGAGAGGGGGAAGGGGGGAACCGCGTGTTTTGGGCGCCGCGGGGGAGGGGAAGGGGGGAACTGCGTTTTTCGGGCGTCGCAGGGGAAGGGGAAGGGGGAACCGCGTTTTCCGGCGCCGCGAGGCGAGGGGGGTTCGCGTTTTCCGACGCCGCGAGGCGAGGGAGGTCCGCGTTTTCCGGCGCCGCGGGGTGAGGGGGTCCGCGTTTTCCGGCGCCGTGGAGCGACCGCGTTTCCGCCGCGCCGCGGGGCGAGGGGGGATCCGCGTTTTCGCCGCGCCGCGGAGCGTTCGCGTTTTCCGGCGCCGCGGGGCGAGGGGACCCGCGTTCGCGTTTCGCCGCGCCGCGGAGTCCGCGTGACGTCACACGGAACGCTCGCGTTATCTCTCCCTCGTAGATGTTTCTCCCCCGTCCCCCGTTTGTCTTCTCGTTCGCGCGGTGTCTCGCGCCCCCGTCCCCCCGTTTGCGCGAGTCTTCTCGTTCGCGCGGTCTCTTTCCCTCGCGCGTTCTTGCTCGCGATCACGTATCTTTTCTTCGCCAACGATATTTAATCGTTCAGATTTTCGCAATATTTAATTTTTAATATTACATTTAAGTAAACGATAAACGAAGACAGCTTTATGACAGGAAATGGGATGAACGGTAAATGAAAAGGAAAAACTTTTTAATCATATTATATGCATTTATTTATCATGTAGCGCATTATACACAATAGTATTCAAAGCGTAGGCTAATAATTCGCAATCAATAATCGAATTTTTATCATAAACGTCACGCAAGATTGTAACTGCGTTACATTTATCGGTGATACAATTTTGACGTAAAATTGTTACAAATTGTTTGAATTTTTCACTTACGCCGTGAACATTTTGACATTGTTGAAAATACACATTCTCGACACAATGTTCTAGTTCGAACAGGAAGAGTACAGTTGACGGTTTCATGTACAAGCTGGTGCCGCACGACGTCAATTTTACAATATCTGCGTCACGTATTTTAACAAGCTCCAGATCTCGAAATGTTAGCGATGATGGTGCCGATGACTGTAGATGCGCTGTATATGTGCACGTTTTTCGATGAATGTCACCCACGTTGCATGTAGCAGAATTATCCGATTGCCTCGGTTACCGCCAATAAGTATATCCACAGAGGACATAGGTCCCGCGTTGATTCCAACATCCAAAAATTTATACGCTGTTGATGTCAAGGCAAATCTTCTTCCCAAAATACGTGGCGTATAACGGGGTTTATCAAAACTGAAAAAATACAATTATATGTTTATAAAAGTTTTTTTTTTGCACAAGTATATATGAAAATTAGCGGTACATACTCATTGTGCTGTTTCTCGCACGTTTCGTCCTGAATCGGAACGTAGTAGTTCGCACCGTGAGTGTTCATCGTATCTGGAGGCTGTTTGCGACGTACTCGAACCGTATCGAACTCTCGACTGCGCTCTAGAATCCTCGTAGACCATTTATACATACCCAAAACTGCAAATCTTGCAAAAATAGCGCCAATGCACGGCTGCTGCATGGTGACCGCCACCACAATCCACATATACGTTAAATGTGATATCTTTGTCAAGAACATTCGTGATGAGATCACCTCATCGGGCATCAAATATGATTTCTTTTCAAGAGCATACGTGTCTCGCGATGATTTCATCGAACACGTGCAAAACTGCAAATTTTGCAATTTCGCATAAGTCAATGGAGCGTTATTGTTTTGAAGAACATGTCGCGACGTGTCTCGCGATGATTTTATCGAACACGTGCAAAACTGCAAAATTTGCAATTTCGCATAATTCAATGGAGCGTTATTGTTTTGAAGAACATGTCGCGATATGTCTCGCGATGATTTCATCGAACACGTGCAAAACTGCAAATAGCGCCGATGTACGGCTGCTGCATTGATACAGATCAAATCACCAAAAGTCAATGGCGCGTTTTCGTGAACGTACGTGTCTCGCAATGATTTCATCGAACACGTGTAAAACTGCAAATTTTGCAAATAGCGCCGATGTACGGCTGCTGAGATGAAATTAGATATGATAAGCAAACGATGCATCATTAGTAGAATATAAAATGACGAATCTAGGGGATACGCTCAATAGTCGAGAACTGGAAGTCGTGAGTGCAACAAATGGCGTTAGCAAGAGGATCGTGCAATAACATGGAGCAGGAGTTGTTGGAGCAATCCACCCTGTTAAATTCGAGGGAAGACTTTGCCGCGTGGGAGCAATGATGCGACGAGTTTATCGAATCGTTGGAAGAACAAAGCCGAATTAAACGGCCACGATTATCAATCGATCAGTCATCGATCGGTCTCAAACAGTCATTGGTCGCTTGTATCGCAAGACTCGAAGGTTTGAAAAACTCGGTACGTCAACGTTTCGTACATGTGGGTGCTGGATACAGTGCGAGTGCGACAGGACTCTGATGGCGCGAGATAGATACGGCTTTTAAAATTCGTATATTGACAGGTGCGGTAATAAATTCCAAACACATCGACCCTCGTCAATTTCTCAAAGATGCGGGAGACGTTGTACTCGATCGTGTGCAGAACGTCATGCAACGACATGGCAATGTAAAAATATACACAATGTTTAATGGTGAATTTGTTGCGGGTGACAAACGCGCAAATAAAAGTATCGCAACGAGAAGCTATGAACTCTTTCGTGAGTCCGATCTGCACGAGTGGTACAAGCAACACGTCATCAAGCCTACCTTAGCAAAGCTGGAGGAATTCCAGGAACGTGATAGCGGATGGGCGTTGTCGCGTATACTCAATTTAATGGTAAATGTGAACAAATACAATCCATTGCACGCGGGGTGTTTTGTGGAAATACCGCAAGAAATTAAAAAGAAGAAGGCGGTGATAAACGTGCGATCAATGGACAATGCATGTTTCGCATGGTCAGTGACGGCTGCTCTACATTCAGCCCAAAGAAATGCAGATCTGGAATCGTCGTATCCACATTACACGTCGGTGCTAGATCTTACGGACATTGAGTTTCCAATGACGTTGGATCAAATTAAACGGTTTGAAAATCACAACAACATTTTCATCAACGTGTTTAGCATCGAGAAAAAAAACAAGGAACTTGCAATCCTACCAATACGTGTTACTGACCGAAAGATGGACAGACACGTAAATCTGCTGTACATGCATAACGACAACGTGGGACATTTTGCGTGGATCAAGAACCTATCCCGCCTCGTGAGCTCGCAAATTAATAAACATGGACACACAAAGTACATTTGCGATCGGTAAGTACCTATAGTTCTTTTAATAATACATAGAATATTTTGTGTATAAAAAAAAATTTATATAATTTGCGTTTATTTTTTTGCAGATGTTTGCACTACTTCAGCTCCAACGAGAAATTGGCTGCCCACACCGTCGACTGTCAGGAGATAAATGACTGCGCGATCAAGTTACCGAGCGATAACGACAAGTGGTTGGCCTTTAAAAATCACAACAGGAAGGAACGAGTTCCGTTTGTCGTATACGCCGACCTGGAGTGTACCCTGGAGAAG